GGGCACAAAAATGGAATTCACCATCCTAGTCTTTCTGAAACATACTGTTGGGCACAAAAATTGAATTCACCATCCTAATCTTCCTGAAACATTCTGATGGGCACAAGAGCGCCATGATTTCTGGATGGCCAAGAATTTAAACCACTTGAATGAACACGTTCTTAAGGAGATGGCAGACCAACCAACTCACACAAGCAAGGCACTGACTGATCAATTAAGCAAACACTTTGCGAACATTATTTTCTTCCACCGCACTACACAATTTTGTAAATTAGATTGTTTCAATCAGTGCTTCAAAAGGTGTGATTTTGAAGAAGTAAAAGTTGAGTGAAGAATACTTAAATTAAAAAAAAATCTTTTGGTTACTCACAGTCGGGAGAGCTTGGGGGTGCCCTGGAAGAGAAGCTCAGGAAGTATTTGCAGTTTATTCTTGTTGAGTCGCCTGTAAGAAAGCACAAAACAAACACCATCAAACAACCTATATATTGTACTTAGAAGTGGTGCTGGGCCAGTGACAACTCCTGTTCACTTTGTGCTCAAAACACCAAAACTATCTGCTTATGTTGGGCATTGAGACAGACATGGATCAATCCAGTGCTGCACGACATCCTTCACTGTAATAAGGTCACAGTTCAATCTGTTGTACATACAACACACTACAGCAAGTCCACACCAGCTTATAGCTTTTTTTTATTTATTCACAGGATGAGAGCATCGTGGGCTAGGCCAACGTTTATTGCCCACCCCAGAGGGCAGTCAAGAGTCAACCACATTGGAGTCACATGTAGTCCAGACCAAGAAGGGTCTGTACAGGACATGAGTGAACCAGATGGTTTTTTCCAATAATCAACAATGGTTTCATGGTTATCATTAGACTTTTGTAGTGATTGGAATGAGGTTGGCCAGATAGATCTCACTGAGTATGAGATCCCTGATTGGGGTTGTTAACTTGGGCCAATCAGGGAGCTCTGGTTGACAGAAGTAAACAGGAGTCTCAGAGAGTGTCCTCACCCTAGGGACTGGCTGCGAGCTGGTCAGAGTCTGTGTACTGTGCATGTGTAAATAAAGACTGACTTGGTGACTAGATACCGGCCTCTGTGGAGTTATTTCAATTTTAACTGCAGGATTTTGTTTTATTGAATTCAAATTCCATCACCTGCCATGGCAGGATTCAAACCCATGTCCCCAGAGCATGGTCCAGAAATAACACCATTAGGCCATTGCCTCCCCTAGTTTAACACAAAGGAGTTGGCAGTAATATCAGCCAAAAAGCCATGCTAATGCCTTGGCAATATGGTTCCAACACCACCACAGCAGTTTCTGGAATTTAAGCTCAATTAACATTTTCAAAAAATCTAGTCTCAGAAATGGTTAAACTATAGGTTATCGTTTTAAAAAAATCCTCTGGTTCACCCACTTCCTTTAGGGAAGGAAATCTGCCAACCTTACCTGGTCTGCCATACATGTGGCTTGAGACCAACAGCAATGTGGTCGACTCTTCACTGCCCTCTGGAAAATAAATGCTCACGTCTGTGAAAGAACATTGCATTCAGATATGAGACGTTCTGGTATAAGAATAGCTGCCTTGCTTTCAGGCTCTTACTCTGTTTAATGCAGTCAGTTTGTTCTGTGTACAGTAACATCACTACATAGAATCCCTACAGTGTGGGAACAGGCCCTTCGGACCAACAAGTCCACACCAAACCTTGCAGCAGCCCACTCAGACCCATCCCCCTATAACCCACACATCCCTGAACACGATGGGCAATTTAGCATGGCCAATCCACCTAATGCGCACATCTTCAGACTGTGGGAGGAAACCAGAGCACCTGCAGGGAACCCACACAGACAATGTGCAAACTTCACACAGACAGTCGCCCAAGGGTAGAATTGAACCCAGGTCCCTGGTGCTGTGAGGCAGCAGTGCTAACCACTGAGCCACCGTGCCATGTTCACTCTATCATCAATACGGTTGGTCAGAAGCACATGGTGTTGCCAGGAAGGTGTTACAGAGTGTGGCTGGATGGGGCAATTGGATTATCAGAGACAGAACCTTGTTTCTGACTGTCTCCACTGAGGTTCATACATCTCCTGCACACTGTTCAGCGACAGACTTCACACTCTACACAATGATGTTGATGTATTTAACCTGCTGCAGCATTCTACACATCGACAGAAAAGCTGAAAGCTGCAGAAGTGATACTTTGCAACTGTTAAAAGGTGTACTGTGAGTGAGAACCCTGTAAAACAACCACTGTACACTATGCTTCAGAGGTGGAAGTCTGCACTGATGGAAATCACACATTTCACTTCGGTCTGATTAGAAATTCTAATTGAGTTCCTCCAATTCCTAGCAGTTCTCTATCACTCATGTCTTAAGAGGTTGAAAATGGTTGGGTTTGGTTTCTTTTTTGTATTTTCTAATCCATAATCTGACCCATGGCAGGGGGCACGGTGCCTCAGTGGTTAGCACTGCTGCCTCACAGTGCCAGGGACTTCGGTATGATTCCACTCTTGGTCGACTTTCTACGTGGAGCAGCTTGGTCATGCTAAATTGTCCATAGAGTCCAGGGATGTACACGTTATGTGGATCAGCCACGAGAAATGCTGGGTTACAGGGATAGGGGGGGGGGGGGGGGGGGGGGGGGGGGAGGGTCCAGGTGGGATGCTCTTTGGAGGGTCAATGATGGGCTGAATGGTCAGCTCCCACACTATAGGGATTCTACAATTCTATGATAATGGCATCAAAATCACTTCCAGTGAGCTGGTGCATCCGTTTGGAGATTAAATTGGTAAATGGGCACCTGGGGGAATCACAATGTGTGGTTTGCATGTGTCTTGTGTCTTGATCCCTACCATGAACTGACTGCTCATTGTAGTAGGTTCTTGTTATAGGCAGACTGACCCACTTTGTTCATCAGTTGCTCAGGCGGCCAAATTCTTAAACACATGACACAGCTGAGCTGCATCTCTCGAAGCAAAGATGGCTTGTGACTGACAGAGTGCGTTGTTGAAAAGTCAGCGATGGCTGCCCATGAGAGAGTGCAGAAGCTGTGGTTTTCAGATGCACTGTATGCCTTGGTGGAGATCAGATACAAAATCAAAGGGTTGCTGAGTCCTTCCCTAACAACTACTTAGCAGCGAGTCAGAGATAATGGTCAATGCCAGAGGTATAGCTCTAAGAATTCATTCTACACAGATACCAGGTATTGACCATCCCCAACAACATGGAGGCTAGCAACTTCCATTAACATTGAATCCCATTAACATTCCTGAACATCCCACCACACATTTTGAAGGGGTTCCCATTGAAAGGAAACATGCCTGGTGTAGCTACATAAATACTGAGACGATAAGGTCAGAGATTGAGAATTCTGTGGTGAGTAACTCTTAATGACTCCCCAGAGCCTGTCTGCAACTGCACAGCAAAAGGCAGGGGTGTAAGAAACTCAACAGGTCCAGGACAAAGCGACCTGCTTGAATGTGTTAAGTTTCTCAGAGCGATACACCAGTTTCTAACTGCGCAAGAGATCTATTTAGAAGTATTCTAAAGTTTCCCTGCAATTAAAAAAATGTTTGATGCATTCATGTTTATCCCATTCCCAGCACCTACCCTATTTACTTTGGACTGAGTCCCCATGCCAAGTTTAACCAACCAAGAGAGCACAATGAGCATAGATCAGTTACAAGGCTCACATAATCAAACACAGATAAAGTGAACACCACTATTGGCATCTCATCCACCACCTCAAACATTAATTCCCTGCATTGTGCGGGGGTGATGTTTTCATGCTGCTGAGCATATGTTCAGCTTTTTTTGAAGTTTTAGAGGATGTTTGCTGGCAAAAGCTCCAAAATTACAATTCCTTCCTCCTCCCAAAAACGTACTTTATTCATATCATTTGTAAGGATACAATACCTAAGATTTCACATTTGACATTACATGGACTGCAATATATAACAGTTTCTTCCAATCCAGTACATGAAATGCCTCACTGTAACTGCTGCAATGGTTTCCTTTTACAATGTACACGTTTCATGTCAAATATTCCGTGCTGCATACAGCCAGAGGCATTTTACATGGTTGCCAATCCCTCAATATGCTCTGACAGGAGTGCTATAATGATCTTACCCCATTGACCCTACTATCAAATCAGCATTGCACACTGAATGGCACCATAATCTGCTCGCTCTGCACACCTCGAGTGGATGTTAGGGTTAGGGTTTGCTAAGCACCTTACCAATACAACAAATGAGGCACTTTGTGGCAGAATGGACAGCATTTTGGTACCTTTGTAACATCCAACTTTGTTCCCATTCTCTGTTGCTGGAAACAAAACTGCAATTAAATTCTTTGCTGTGTCCCTTATAAACCTTTTGTAATGCATTCTCCTTAAAGGTAACAAAAAAAATTTTCTTAATTTCAACACATGGTCTCTGGAAAATCTTTTTCTCTCTTACGATGCTACGAACTGCTTTGGGCTCAGAGGGCAACATTGTGCACGCCTCCTGTCATTATAAAAGGTCACTGAGTATATTTACACAAGAGACAGAACCCCTTTGAGACCTAGGCAGGGAATAGATTTGTTCTTGCTGCAGGCTTCCGTGCGCTAATGAGGTGACATGTAATTACACAGAAATGAATCTTGTCTGCTTGCCTACGTTTGCAGGAGACCAAACCAGCAATCCTGACGTCAACCAAAAGAACAGTTCCCATTAATTAAAAGAATGGTTACATTACAGTGCAATGACGTGTCATTGGGACCTGCAGCTTTTTACTCTCATTGATAAGGTTGCAGTCACCTCTGTAGGTTGTGAAATGTCCTCTTTCTTTGCTCACATCTTACTAGAAAGCACATCAACAGTGTACATGGGAATGAGCTAACTGTTCATACAACTTCTAGGCTTGTCACCAATGCTTTCCTTTCATCAGCTGCTACAAAGATGGATAAAAGATGCCGTGCATAACTGGCTCCCCAAATTTCCAATTCCCCTCTTCTTGGGCACTCCAGTTTTCAACTCAGGGTGGTGAGTGTCTGGAACGGGCTGCCATAGGTAGCGATGGAAGTGAGTACAATTTCGTCATTTCAGAAAAATTTATACAGGTGCAAGGATGGAATAGATATGGAGGGATTACGGACCAAACGCAGGCAAATGGGACCAGTTTCAATTGTGAAAACTGGGCAGCATGGACAAGTTGGGCCGAAGGGCCTGTTTCCATTCTGTCGACATCTATGACTCTAACTGTGTGCTGAAGACCCAGTACAGCTTATACTCTGTGGCATTTCTTGATACTTCAACATAGACCTATTACTGTGCCTCCACCCAAACATTACCCACCCATCCCCTCTGCAATCCTGCTCCGCACCTTCACAACCTCCATACAAAGTCCAGGATGTCCCTTCAAAATTAGTGCATAACCTTTGGGACTTCCATTACTGA